TCGTCGTATTCTTATCATGCAGTATATACGTTAGTAAATATTTAATTAATTGGAATTTAAAAAATAATTAGTTGTTAAAGAAAAATTAGTTATTAAAAAAAAATTCATGGAATGAGTTTTTTGTATTTGGTAGCACGGAATAAAATCACAAAATGACATCTCTCAACCTTCCATCTCCTCGTAAAATCATATTATTTGATTTTATGAAATTGATAAACAATTTAATTTTTTCATTTTAATCAGAATCGAGACATGACCGGTTAAAATGAAATTAAAAAAGAAAATTGTCAACAAAAGTTGATTTATAGCTTGTATGTGTATTAATATAGGATGCACTTAAATTGATTAGACCAACTTTTCTTGAATATATGATTTTTCGCTGCTGATCTCATGTTTCCATCAATTACAATAAAACTGCTGTCTAGGCTACTGAAAAACGTAAAAAACACAATCTCTCCTCTTTCACACTATAGCAAGATTTTCACTATATGCTACCCTGTTAATTTTCCCTTTATTAGTTTGCTATCCCATTTTTCTCTTAAAATAAGTTCACAGGACAAGATTGGTTGTCATAAAAAAAATTATCTCATTCGTTTCAATAATTTAGTTAGCTGAAGCTATCTTATTCTGAGAGAACAAAAAATTGCTCCATCTCTTTTATCCTCGGTTAATCCGGAGAGCTGGTCAAACGGTGTAATGTAAATATTGTACAGAAAATTTAGTAGTTACTATGATGGTTATCAAAACTATTTTTCTGTGACTTATAGATCAGTATTGCCATTGTTTTTTCCGAAAAAAAGTAGATTTTCAACCACTGTGCGCCGTTTCCTCAATACCTAAATAAAATATTGCTTGTACTTAATTTTGGGTTAGAATCATGTAATCCCTTCCATAAATTGCGGGAGCTTTTTTTTTTTTTTTTTCAACATTTTGTACTGGTAAAGGATTGAATTACAGCAAATTGGAAAAAAAATTCCATGATCTGTCTAAGCGCCAAAATTTGATTGATTTGTCCTAAACCACCCTGACAATCTCTGTCACGCTGTCTCTCCACGTATGGCATAATGCGATTATACAGAGCAATAGAGAATACCTTATAAGCGCCATTAAGTAAGCTGATATCTCTGTAATTTCTGCAGTCACTTACATCTCCTTTTCTCTTATAAATTGGGACAGTGAGGGATCCCTTATTCTTCCGGTTGTTTATCTATTTCCCTAATATTTAGTAATTTAGTTAGCTACTAATTTAGTAATTCCTCTAAAAGGCGACTCCCCCCTTGTTTGTGAAATTCTCCAGGGATCCTGTCTGATCTTGCTGACTTATTATTCCTTAGCTTTTCCAAAATATTTTCGATGCCGTCCGAATCAGGTGACATGACTTCATCCATATCTTCCTCTGTTATTGATTGCATGCTTCTGTGGGTTCCTATTTCTCCATCTGCAGGGTTGAATACTCCTGAATATGTTCTTTCCATCTTTGTTGTAACTCATTCTCCACAACAAGCAGCTTTCCATTCTTATCTCTTACCATACCTGACTCATTAACAGAACCAACTTTGGCGGTATTTACGTCCTGAAAGAACTTTCTTGTTTCATTCCTAAGCCTTGCTTCTTCAATGTTTTTAATTTTTTTCTGAAAGGCTTTCCTTTTTTTCTGTCTCTGCACTTTCTTAGAATGGCTCCTAGCTTCTGGGTACTCTATGCGATTCTGACGAGTGTCTCTGTTCATGTATTTTTCTCTCTTAATATTCCTGATTTTTACAAGTTCTTCACATTCCTGATCATACCAGGAAGTGGGAATAACTCTTCTATTTTTCTTGCAAATTGATCAGCAGCTTCTTCTATTACTTGCTTAAGTGTATCCCATTCTTCCTGCACGTTCCTGCCATCTTCACTTATTGGTATCTTCTCAACCCCTCTTTCAATACAGTTTTGAAAAATACTTTTTACCTCCGCTCTATTTATTTTGTCTTTAGCCCAACTGTGCCTCAGGTCATAATTTCTTTTATATGTGGCTTGTTTACTTGGTAACCAATAAATGGTCTGAGTCTTCATCGGGGCCTCGGTTAGTCCGAAGGTCACACACACTGTTGAAGTACTTACTGGTGACAAGAATGTGGTTATCTGAATTGTTGCCCCGTTTGGAGAAGTCCAAGTTCCTTTGTCAAGCCTTTGTAAAAAAGAAAATACCCCGTTGTAGAGAACTACATTAAACGACTCAGTATATTCAATAGAATATATTATAAAGCTTTTAAAACCAACACAATTATACCATAAAATATAGTAATTAATGCAATACATGAAAAGAAACAATAATTTCCTTCTTTTTTTTTTTTTTTGGGCAAAATGCACTGCGGCCATGAAGGTCTTTTGTACGCATGTATATACATATATATATATATATATATATATATAAATTACTGTAGTATTAATTATTAAAATATATACTGAATATAACTGCATATATATATATATATATATATATATATATATATATATATATATAATAACCAAGTTGTTGGTCGCATAAAACAACTCGTAGCCTAACCTAATCCAAACAAGGACATTTTTTTTTTCTTTCGACTTTAAGGAGATTTAAAATTGTGTAGTATTTATGTAAGAGAAATTAATACTTTTACTTTTCTAGTATAACAAAGTTCATAATAGATAAATGCAGGAATCAATTAAGAAATAATTAAAAGTGCTTCAATAATTAAGCTATTACGGTCGGTTTAAAAGTTGGCTTACAATTAAGTTAGTTGAGCTTGGAGAGATCGATTATCTAGGAGTGTTTCCTCTTTACATTCTATGTTAATTATTATCTGTGGCTTCTCTCTTTAAATTATTAGTCCTTAGACGAACATCCTTTGATCTCAGAACTGTTTAGAAGTATGATAGAAGAACTACTAATGGGAGCTAACCCAATAATGAACGCGAATAGGTTTATTGGGAACGAGTTCTGGACTGCTGTGTGTTCTGTTAAAGGAAGCATGTAAGTATCTTGAGAGACCATTAAGCATCTATCCTAATATTTAGTAATCAGTGCTGGATTAAACGTCCGGTGGATAGACCGATGGTGTAGAAATAGGTTTTTCAAAGCTTCAGTGTAAGAAATTGTCTAAAAGAAGATAATAAGTGATTTCGGTATTTACAACAAAAAAAAAAGTTAAAAACTAACAAGAAAAATTAAAAATAAAGGATGAGGTATGGTGCTTTTTTAGCAATGAAACAGATAAAATTCATCTTAGTCGATTATAAAGTAAACGCACGCTCCCCTTGAAAACCTTTATAAGTGTTGTAATGAGATGGAGCTAGAATAGAAAGCTAATTGTTTCAAAAGCAAACATTTGCATTCAGTCAGTGCCACTACCTTGACCATTTCAAAGAAAGTAATTGGTCATTGATTTCGTTATTGTAACATGATGTGCAATTTATCAAGGTTAACCGTATTTCAATGTATAAATGTGATGATACCAAAACTTAAAAAAAAAATAATAATGCTTAGTAATAATAAAATTACTTATTCTAAAGTGGTCCAAATAGTTGGGCCAGAACCACTCTAGAAATTAAAACTATGTATAGATACATATATTTTATTTTTTCTGTTGATTTTACAGACCTTGTACTTAGATTTTTGGCTACATAGAAGGTTCAGTTCTAAACCTTTGTCTATCTTTGGCTACTCCTTTCCAGTTTTCTGCTTGCAGTTCTGTAGTATATTTGTTGATTCGATCTATCAGTCTAGTTTCTTGGCTTTCCATATGGTCAATTGCCAATTTCTGGGTCAATACAGGTGTAGAGGATTGCACCGATTTTCATATCACGAGATATTGATTTACCAGTTTCTGTAAGCAGTTCTTTATTGGTTCTTATCCTCTATGGTTAGTACATAGTAACTACTAGATCGCTCCGGTTATCGTTTGATGAATTTTTCTCTCTACTTTCTAAATACTTCTTTCTAGGGTGCACACTCATTACATTGTCTAGCTCTCGCAGATGTACATCAGAATTCCATTTAATAGCCAGTCAGAATATCTCTTCAAACGTCTGGTGGGTGAATCACACAACTTACTACCATATTTTCAACAGAAATTAATTTAAAATAAATTGGTGAACATTGGTAATATGAACTATATGAATATCAACTTATGGAACTTTGACCCTAGCGGGCAGTTTTCATCTACCAAACGAAAAAGGATATCATTAGGTTTTGCAATAAATAAATGACGATCACTTATTATTTTTCGATATAATTGTTTTCAATAAGATTTTTAATACTTCTATTTATTTCCGAAGTGAGCCATGATTATCATTGATAAATTTTCATGAAACGGAAAAACTATTTTATTCTAGTTGTAATATCAAAACTAATTTTTTTTACAAAACCGACACTGGGATCACAAGATCCTCCAAGGCACAGCCATCTTGTATTAAAGATTCCTGTTATTGGTACTGGTTACTGGTTACTGTTACTGGTAGACGGAACTAGTCCGACAAATGGGTATAAATTGCAGTCCTTTCATGTCAACTCATGACGGCTACCTAATGTTTGAGACCGTGGTGGTCATGCGTGTGGAAGTGTTGTCCGCTTTATCATTCTCAGTTCTAGCGATTCCGATTCAAATCCGTCCTGGAACGGTTGCAATTTATTTTGTGGCAGACCCACGGATGAAGCTCGACCTTTCCTCTCTGGTTAGAATAGGTTGTTTGAACATCCAGATCCAAAAGGAAAAGATTACTACCTCGTACTAATTAGAGTAGGAATCGAGATTCATTTCTCGTGAATCACGAGAAATAAATATTTATCAATCCAAGTGGGAATGAATCGAACTTACAATGTTCCGAAACGAGCACACTGGGATTCACGCCCCAACGTGCCTGGTCTTTACATCCTCTCAGGGGATACCTAATTCTTGGATATATTTCCTTAGAAATGACACTTTTTTTTCATAGTAAATAACTATTTCATTACTCTCAACTAATATTGTTTTCTTCTTTAGGTCTTTGCCTGACTACGGACGTGGACTACCTCCTCTCGCACATGAACAACGCTAGGTTCTTGCGAGAGCTGGACTTCGCGAGGGCTGACTTCTACCAGAGGACAGGGCTGTACGGGGCCATCCAGGGCAAGGGTGGTGCCGTGGTGCAGGGTGCCGCCACCATCCGCTACAGAAAGTTCGTCAGACTCTGCTCCTTTTACTCAATCGTGTCTAAGGTGAAGTAATCTGCTAAAAAAATATATTTTCTATAAACTACGTAGTAACTGTATCTTTCAGTACAGATACACCTGTGTACTTCTTTATCAAATGTTAAATCTCTTAGTTTTATATAATATTTTTAGTAATTCGTCGAATTTTTTAACTATATCTATTTGTATAAATATATTAATCTATTGGAAGCAGAATTTTGGAGTTGGCATCCCAATCCCAGAGCAGGTATTAGTTTAGTTCCGACATCATTAGCTAAAGAACTTCAGTTCGGCCCCGATCCTTTCGAGACTGGGTTCAGTCTATCAGCATTACTCAGGAAACACCACGAAGAACTGGTTGTTCCATCTCTCAATTATTTTCATGTATCTCTTACATCATTAATAAATTTTAAGCAAAGATTGAAGTTCGTATAGGACAAGACGTTAGGAAATAGCATGATTCAAGGTGATAGAAGAAATTTTAACGATACCTCTTTAAGAAAATTAATTTTACCAATCCACCAGTATAACCTAGCACCGCTGCGGTACTGCACTACAAAACTAATGTAAATTTACTTCTGAATGTCAAACATTGTTACAATGAGAGTTGAAACCCGGGAATGAGTGATGTGAACAATCTACTCTTTTTTATTATTCTTTTGTTTATATATTTGTTTGACCTTCCGTCTGATCACTCTCCTTTACTACTTACTGTTGATATAGATCCAATCCTGGAATCTTCACAACCGACGCTTACACCAGGTCAAATTAATTGGAAAAACTTTAGGGATACGTTAGAAAAATCTAGCTCGTTGAACACCTTCTTGCGGACCCCTGATGAGGTTGACGATGCAGTCCAATCGCTAACGCAAGCTATCTTTACAAGCCGCTTGGAATTCTTCCTCATGTCCATTAAGACAGCCCAGTGTAAGGTATATGAAAAATAGCATTCCAGATTCAATTAAATACCTCTTACAAGAGAAACGAAAAGCTCGTAAGAAGTGGCAGTGATCTCGTTATCCTTCAGATAAGTCCAAATTTAATCAGCTAACAACGGAATTGCGAGAGGAAATCAGACAATTTAAAAATGAAAATTTTAATACTTTCCTAAACAGCTTGGATAATAACAATACGTCTATTTGGTGAATGACAAAACTCTTGTTGAATCACCAAGAGACATCGCATGCAATTCGATATCCTGATGGTTCATGGGCAAAGTCAGACGCTCAAAAAGCTGAATTGTTCGCATGCCACTTAGAAAATATATTTACCCCTCACAGTGATTTGCAATATTCGCTCAGTGCAAAATTAGTAGAACAACAATTAGATATTCCTTTAGAGGTGACCACTCGCCGAAATATTTTCATCCAAATGAAATTAGCAGTATTATAAATAGTTCGATCTTATAACTAACTATATTCTAAAGAATTTACCAAAAAAAGCTATTATATTCTTATCAAACATATTCAATTCGATTCTTAGGACGACACATTTTCCGATTTTATGGAAATATTCTGTCATAACTATGATTCACAAACCCAATAAGCCTGTGGACCGTCCTGATTCTTACCGCCCAATTAGTCTTCTGTCTTCTCTGTCTAAAGTATTCGAAAAAATTCTTTTTCGGCGTTTAAATTTACTTCAACTACTTTCCAGTACCAAATTTCCAGTACGGGTTCAAACAGCATCATTCGACTTTTCAGCAATGTTACCGCCTTGTAGATTACATATATTTCTCACTAGAATCAGAATTGTATTGTCCTGGTGTTTTTCTTGACATGAGTCAGGTATTTTTTTACAGAATATAGTTCGATGGTTTATTAAATAAAAAAAACGATTATTCATCCTAATACTTTATTTTACTGTCATATCTAAAAGATATGTTTTTCCGCGTGAAAATTGGGACTGAGTTTTCTGTCATCAAATAAATAAAAGCTGGAGTACCTCAAGGCAGTATATTGGGTATACACTTTTCAACATTTACTGCTCAGACATCCCACAACATTCAGAAACACTGTTGTCTACATTTGCCGATGACTCGGCAATATTAACATCTAACAAGGATGCAGTTAAGGCATCTCAGGTACTTCAAGAACACCTAGACGACATAGCTTGTTGGACTAAAAGGTGGAGGATAAAAATGAATGAGTCTAAGAACCAATTCGTTTCATTTACACTTAGACATGAATCTTTCTTGTCCTCCAGTGGTCTTTAATAATATCGCTCTACCGCCTTCGAAAACTGTACAATATTTTGGTATCCGCTTGGACAAACGACTTACATGGACATACCACTTAAGAGAAAAAAGAAAAGAACTTAATCAGCGATATGGACTTCTTACTAGGCTACTGGACAGTTCTAAACTATCTGTGACTAATAAATTAACTATTTACAAACTCCTCATTAAACTACTTTGGACATATGGGATCGAACTTTGGGAAACAGCAAAGACATCAAATATAAAAATCATCCACTCATTTCAGTTAAAAGTCCTTCGGAAAATTGTAGACGCACCATTTTATGTTTTAAACCTTACGTTACACAGTGACCTTGACACTTCTTTCATCACGGCAACTGCCACAGACCACTTTAATAATTTTCATGTTAGACTGACTCTAAATTCAAATACACTCCCTCAATCTCTGTCTTCTGCCACAAATCCATATAATCCGCCCAGAAGCATGCTGAGGCGCTGGCCAAGAGTTTTATTGCATCGAGCTACATTCTGTATTGAGCTATATGTTGTGTGATTGTGTTATCATATTTTCATTTTACTACTTTTTTGTTTGTTTGTTTTGTTATTATTATTCTTATTTTTTTTTTTTTTTGCTATCATTTATTCTCATTAATATCATATTTGTGAATACGAAGTAGATGGCAAATTTATTATTTGCCAGGAACATGAATAACTAATAATAATATATATTTGAGTGCCTCAAAAGTAAAGATGTGCAAAATGCTAAAATAATTAAAAGACCCTTGTTAGAACGGAGTGTTGAACTCTTAGAATTGAATAAAACATGGTTGTTCTTAAAATATGATCACGGGAACTTTTCTATAAACTAAATCATAACCCACAAAATTTTGAATAAGTTGAGGACTTCTGCCTGACCCCTGGAGCAATTACAGAAAAGCAGATAGATTGCAGGCACGACCTAGCTTCCTGATATTATATATTATATGTGGCACTATTTATAATATAATAATTTATAGTTTTCGTTGTAAATTATGTCATGAACATTTTTTTTAAGTATATTCAGTATTGAAGCTGATTTTAATGATCTGTCACGTACCCGTTCACTTTGCTTTAGTTCATCAAATAAATCAGGTTTTCAGGAAAATTATAATAATAATAAAAGGCTTAGCGAACTCGAAGGTTCGATGCCGACACCACCAATCGCTTATTACACACCTCCCTCCACCGTTCCCCGTCCAAACCCAGTCCCTTCAGATCGGCTTTAATGCAATCTTCCCACCTTCGCTTCGGTCTACCCCTCGGACGCTTACCATTCGGCACAGCAAATATTAACCTTTTAGGAATTCTCTCGTTACTAAGCCCAACAACTTTACAAGCCCATTTGATTCGCCGCGATGAAATTACCTCAATTATATTACCCGGATACAGTTCACGCAATTCGGCGTTGTGTAACCGTCTGAACTCTCCGGTTAACTCATCCTTCTTCGGTCCGAATATTCTACGCAATACTTTATTTTCAAAAATCTTAAGACGCTGCTCATCCCTTAATGTAAGCGGCCAAGTTTCGCATCCATAAAGAACTGTAGGCAAGATAATTGTTTTATAGATTCTAATTTTTTAAGTTCCGGGACAAGAGGCGCGAACTAATTAGTTTTGTCACAGAAAAATAACAAGCATTTCCCGACTTCAGTCTAACCTTAATCTCTTCTTCAATTTCGTTTTTTCTAGTTATCGTAGAATCTAGATACCTAAATTTATCTACCTGTTCAAACATATTACCGACTATATCGATATCACCAGTAGTATCGCCATTTTTGCAGCTAACCATATATTTTGTTTTATCCAAGTTTATTTCGAGTCCTAGTTTTTTACCGGCTTTCCTTAACATTGTCATATTTAGTTTTATAGTTTCAACGTCTTCGCTTAACAGTACCAGATCATCAGCATAGCCCAGCACGGATGTTGTCCCACCCAGATCCAACCCTTTCTCGGTACGCATTACCTCCCTAATGGCATGTCCAATGCCAAATTGAACAGGACAGGCAAAAGGGAATTCCCCTGTTTTAAACCCGAACGAACCTCAAATTTTTCTGACAGATTATTACCGATTCTAACTTTATTGAGTGTCTACGTCAAGCACATCCTCACTAGATTTACTAGTTTTTTTGGAATCTCCTGCTCGATTAGAATATTATACAGTTTTTGGTGGTCAATAGAATCGTAAGCCTTTTTAAACTCTATATACAGCTGGTGAACAATACCGTTGTATTCCAATTTTTTCTCTAATATTTGCCGTAAAGAAAATATTTGATCATTAGTTGAACGATTCCGTCTAAATCCGCATTGGTAGTCTCCGATAATTTCCTCGGCGTATTCCGTGATTCGACTGGTTAAGATTAAAGTGAATATTTTATAACATACCGGAAGGAGTGAAATTCCTCGATAGTTATTACAATCCGTCCTCAGGCCCTTTTTGTGAATCGGAATAAGAATAGATTCTTTCCATTCCTCAGGTAATTTTTCATTCACCCAGATCTTTTTAACCAACCGATGTATTTTAGAAACTCCAGCTTCCCCGCATGCTTTAATTAATTCAGTAGGAATATTATCGGTTCCCGGTGCTTTATAAGATTTTAATTTTCCGATAGCTACTTCAACTTCCTCTTTACTTGGTCCTTCTATTAACGGTTCAGCACTCTGGTACTCAGAAGGAGGACACAGATCATAATTTCCCGTATTTAAAATATTGTCAAAGTGGTCCTTAAACTTATTCAATATGTCAACCGGATAGGTCAGAATATTGTTATTATCATCCCTAATTCCAGACGTTACGGGTCCTACATATTTACGTGATCTGTTTATAACTTTGTACATGTCTCTTACGTTATTTTCGACTGTATTAGTTTCTAGTTCAATTATTTTATTTTTAAGATACTCCCTTTTTTATTTTTGAGCAATTTTGTCGTTTCGTTCTTTGAGGTTCGGAAGTATTTCAGATTGTCTTCGCTAGGATTATTTAGAGCTTTTAATTTAGCGGCTTTTCTGTTTTCGCACATGTTTAAGCAATCTTCATCAAACCACGGTTTGTTATTCTTATTTTCCTTTTTTCCTAGACACTAGTTACCGACCGATTTAATATTATCCCTGATTTTTACCCATAACTTGTCAATTTCCTCATGGTCCTCGTCAGGAAGCTCTAAAGCTTCAAACCTATTCTTAACATCTAGCTCGAATTGGGTTCTAATTGATGGATTTTTTAATTTTTCCAAATTAAAATTCTCAAAATCGAAACGATTTTCTTTTCTATTTTTTACACTAAGTTTCTGTCAAAGTTTCGCGATTACTAATTCATGATCCGACCCACATTCTGCTCCGCGATAAGACCGTACATTAATTATACTGCTTTGCCAGCTATGTTGTATCAAGACAAGATCGATTTGATTTCGTGTTTGCGAATCCGGTGATGTCCAAGTATATTTATGAATATCCTTATGTTTAAACGTCGTACTTTTAATTATCAGGTTTTTCGAGATGGCAAAGTTTATCAGACGGATCCCATTATCATTACTATATTCGTGCAAACTTTCTTTACCAGTCGTCGGAATTATAATTTATCTACCTGTTCAAACATTATCCTTCCCTTCTTCCCTTCCTACCTTTGCGTTCGCGTCACCTACAATTGTTTTCATGTAGTTTCGCGGTAGTTTATCGTAAACCCATTCGAGTTTATCGTAAAATTCACTTTTGACTTCATCGTCACTGTCTTCAGTCGGACAATGTATGTTTATTAATGCGTTTTAAACCAACGTCCCTGAAATATAGCTACCGAAATTCTATCACTAAAGAATTGTACGTCCCTCAAAGCGGATAGTAATCTACTCCTAATTAGAAACCCGGTACCTAAACAATGATTCCCGCTTCCTCCGTTCCAAATAGTGTACTTCCCTTCCCTCATCGAGCCCTCCCCTGGCCAGCGAACCTCTTGCAGAGCCGTGACATCCAGATTGTACCCATTTACCTCATTCGCGACCGATTTTAGCCCCCCTTTAAACTCCTTACGATCCACGAACCAATATTTAGATCCCTATATTTCAACTTGCGCCATGAATCCCCTAAAGCAGTCCCCACCTGGAGACCCGAACGGGAGATTAGTTTACCTCCGGATAATGAGCGTTTTACCTTAGGGAGATCCATGACTATTTGTGGTGTTTGGTGAACTAAAGATATGTGAGTATGGCGTTAAATCCTACGTCACACCCTCCAGCAAGTCTGGTGGGCCCCTACCTCCAGCAAGTCTGGAGGGCCCCTCTCATTGTTGGTCAGCGAGTTCATCGGACTTAGCCGGGAGGAACTTTCAAGGAATTTCCACCGACCATCCCCACATCCGCCACCTGTGGGACGTTCCCCATACGCGGTAAAGAGCCAGCGCGAGGAGCGTTTCAGGAAAATTATTGTAATTTAATTATTTTTTTATTGGCCATATTTAAAGTTGTATTAATTTATCTAAATTCGGTAGAAAAGTCCTGAGTGGACACACCAGATTTTTTTTTTTTTTTTTGTTAGATTTTGTTGCGAGATAAGATAGATTTATGTGTTATTATTTACATTCTCCAGGCAAAACATCATGAATTAATAAAAAACAATTTCTTTTTATAGATAATCTATTGGGAAGGATCGAGCATCTATATGGAACATAGATTCGTCTCACCGACCGATGATTTTGTTTTGGCGATTGCTATATGCCGACAGCGGCTTTTGAAAGTGGAATCAGAAGATTTGATCCGTGAGATAATGTCCAGTGAGAAGAGCCCAGAGTCAGGAGGTTACGCCAAACCGGAAATGCCATTGGATTTGGCCAAATGGATTGAATCTAACGAAATCTCTTCAGCGAACTTGAGGAACGGATGCTGACAAGAGCTGCTGCCTTCCCAGCCGTGCATAGCGCAGGAATGAGGAGGTTTTCGTCCAGCCTTGTTTGAACCGCTGGTCGGTTTAACAAGGCTATCTGCGGTGTATTTAAGGAGAACTAAGTTGACTACTAAAGCTTCTCTATTTTTCTGTGTTGATATCAATTATTATTATTTTTTTTTTTTTGCCATTTTCTACATAAATTTTGAAAATCAAAATGTTTGTGAAGAAAACGAAAACTTACAGTAGACTCTCCCTTGTTCCATATTTATAATTTTAAATTATAAAACTTCAGATCATTAAACATTTTGTTATTCCAATTAAAAATTACAAAAATAAATCTATGCATATTCAAAATAAACCACAATTACTTTTTTTTAAAAGATTAATATTTGGTATTAGTCCATTAAAGTTGGCACAGAGACCCATATAGTGTGTTTGACTTCTCAACATATAAAGAAATCCATGATTGATAATATAAAAGACCTTTCAGTCTTAGAATTGGTCAGACTAATAAAGTGTTGGAGATCTAAAGATAACAGGTAAAACAGATGATAACTCTTAAGGCATCTAAAGACTGTTAAGGATAGATAGATTAGCAGTTAACAAGGAAACATGCCTAACCATTGGTAGCAACTTTATAGCTAATGGGCAATATTATGTTATGTGGTGTGCAGCTATAGCATGGTTTTAGTAATAAGGAAGTTTAAAAGTGAAAGATGATTGGTATTCCTTAATATCATTATGGGTTTTCAAACCTTTTCTGTTTGTTATTTTATCGACTACTTTACCTCCTTTATCAATATTTGGCAGATCAGTTTCTTTGAATGATAACAGTTTCTATTTCTTCTTCATCATGATTAACACAATAGTGAAGTACATAATGAGCAACAAAATATATCTATTTAAAAATTAATAAAATATAATCATCTAAGAAATCATGTTTTCTTTTTATAGTTGTTCTTAGAATAGAAATAGTATCAGATAAGAGAGAGTTTACTGTGAATTTGTTACATACAAATACATATATAATTTAATTAAAATTTGTTCCTTTCTATAATTATTCTTTAATTTTTATTATTTTATTTTATTGTTATTATTTTTTTAATTTATAAATCTTCAGATCACTGAATAATTCAAAAAGACAATTCATACCTACATTTTACGATTTATGCATATACCTATGAGGTAAATGCTGCATTAATTAAATAGTATTTATTATGATGGGATCAAAACATTGATTATCTTATTATTTTTTTATGTTCATAATTATTTCATAATTCATGTTAAAATGTTGAAAACCACTTAGTATAAGAGACATCCATCATTTAATGTCACCATTAAACTACTTTAGATTTCATGATATATTAAAATATTGTATATCACATCTATAGCATCTGCTTAAAATTACATTAAGAATCTATAATAAAACTGATGTACATTTTTTATTGTTATATTCTTAAGAGTTTATAAAACATTTTAAAAAGTTAATTTGGCTATATTCAAATAGATAAATTTTAAAATTAATTAGTTTTAAATTTTGAAGCCTGAATATAATCTGAGTCCATGATCCGGGATATACAAAGGGATGCAAGGGTATATTTTTTGCATGCTAGAAAAACGTTAAAAATCTTTGTTGAAAATTATTTTGTTTTGATGAAAAAAACTTTTACGTATTTGAAGTAAAATATATATACATTTTTGTGGATGATTCTTCAAAAATTTACTTTTTTTTATAAAAACATTTTTTTTTCCAAATCTGATTTTTTCAATGATAAGTAATTTTGCTTAATATTTTATGATGAATCAAAAACTAAATGCACTTCATACCAGATTCAAAAATGCTATTCACTTCCCAACAGTGATACGTGATTGTAAAATGTTAGAAATCTTGTTTGAAAATATTGATATGAGCATAGCAACCAGTGATGGCAATTCTTACTAAGGAAAATTTCCAATTCCTCTTTCTGGAGTAATTTCAGAAAGAAACATGGGATGGTAGATAAATTACTTAAAACCTTTGGGGCTGCCCTTTTTCAGATTTCCGTAACTTATTCGTTTCTTGGATTCATGCGGATTATAATTGTTGACAGCTGTAGGTTTGTGAATATAAAACAAAAATACAAAATAATTTCCAGCTGTTGAGAAGTATTATAACAGTGTTTAGAAACTTGGTAAGTGCGTTCAAGGGACAGCTAACTTAATGACAAACTAACTCTTGTATTTGAATTTTCATCATGATGGATTAGAAAATTTATTTTCCTATGAATATTTAAAATAAAAAACAGACCAAACTGTAGACAAGATTTTTGTTTTTTAATGTTATAAAACAATAAATGATCCTTTGTCTTAGAATCAGCCATATATTTATTGTTTCTAATATCATAAGTATATATATTGTTAGAAACAATAAAAATCTTTCCTTAGAAGTAAGGTCAGAAAAATTCATGACTGTTGAAAAACAATTAAAAATGTTTTATAATTTTGTAGCAGAGGTGTTGAGTGAACATTCATTTACTTTTATTAGCTTTTTATTCTCAATATTTAATATTGCTTAAAGAGTAAACAACAACCAATGTTAACAATGTTTTAAAATATATTTTTCAGTTCAGTTAATTTTTTGTTTTTAAATGAATTCTATAAAAATAAATATCAACGGTAAACAACATAAATCTCGTAACTTCATTCTAATAAATTTTATTAGAGAAAAAATAAATGTTAAAAAAATGGTTTAAACTGTCACAGATTTAGTTCCTATTATTCTTACCAGATGCAAGCCTTAAATATTTTTAAAATAGAGATAAATTTGTACTTTCAAATCTTTCTTTGTACACAGAACACCGAGAATGGAGTTATGTCATTTAAATAGATTAATGGAGTTATGAGGTTTTCATTACTTATGTGACTAATAATGATTTTCATCAATCTGTAAATGGATAAGTACTGAAAACTAGGTCTTGAAACGTGTAGAATGTAAAAATAACATCCAACTATTCCTCGATTTAGGATATTAAATAATGAACAGAAGAATGAACATCACTGAATTATTTCTAAAGTTAAAGATATAGATCTACAAACACTCATTAAGCTACAAAAGCTTCACTATGCAGATCTTGTTGCAAGAATGAATCCTAATGAACACCCCAAATAAAACGCTGTTAAATCTAATCTGAAATATTCGGTGTGGCGATAAAGTCTCTTTATGACTGCCACCCCGTACCCCCTCCTTCCTCTGTTGGTTAACAATGGTTAACCATTAAGTATTCAATAATGTGAGATATGTTTCAAGTCTACAAGTGGTTCAGAATAAAAGTTAATAATATAAGAAAATATCCTATAGATTGTTTTTCTCAATAATTCATTATTATTATAATATAATGCTATGACCAACTTATTGAGTCAAAGCCTGCCCTATTATAGATCGCCATTCCTCTCTGCTGATACCTTCCAGTTCCAGACACCAAGTAAGGACATTGAATCATTAGCCACCCTGTTCTTCCAGCGAAGTTTAAGATGTCCAACTTTTCTTGTTCCATATAAACACTCTGAAAAGACTTTATATAGAATTTCATTGTATAGACGAAAATAGTTATCCATTCAATACTCTTTTCATATCAATTTGTTTATTTATTTATTTCCTAAATTTTTGTTTCAGTATAAATTTGATTACGATTCAGTTAATTTTGAAAAAAAAAAAAAAAATGTCTTCAGCATTTCTGTTTATCTTTAATAGAACTTAATATAGAGAATAAAAAGCTAATCAAAGCTACATTATTATTTTTTTTCTAGCTCTGGTAGTGCTATGTGATACAAATTTACCAATGACACATATTAAAATTATCCTGCGTTTATCAAAATAAATCTGAGGGTCTTTTTATCTTAATTTTTTTTTGTTTTTGTTTATGTAGATCTTTTTATGATATACTGTCCTTTATATATATATATATATGATTGTTTTCATATAAACCTATTTTTAATGACTTATGTATAGAATAGAAATGAGCTTTGTGATAACATTTCCATAGCCATAAAATAGATGTACATATAAGTATGTTTCATTAATAATTTAATGAATAATAATAATTTTGAATTTAATGTATTATCTTTGAATTTAATAAGTTTAAAACTGTTATAGATATCTATGCTTGTAAAGAAATTGTTTATATTTTTAAACCTGAATTCAAAATTATGTATAGAATAAAATTTGTAGTGAACTGAGAAATATACTCTGATGAATATTTATCTATAGTTTTAATATTGATGATGAAATATTATATCTGGTACTGATTTTCATAATGTAAAAAGAGATGAATAACGTGTTGTTCAGAGTTAATTATTGTAGAAATGGTGTATAAGATATTTTGTAAGGTACCCTTACCTCCAATAGAGGAAAAGGACGTAAAGCTTGACTGAAAATAGATATATTCTATCTCTCTGCCTCTATCCTCTATCGGAAAGCCTTACAAACTTGTAATGATATATAAGAAATAATATTGTACATTTGAGAAATTGAGGTTATGGGTGTGAAGAAACCATTAGTTACCAGTCTCGAACCTAATTATTAGCTGTGATGTTGATTGTGAAATTAATATTTTTTTTTAATTTTATACTATTGCTTTTGTCAGTCAGCAATTAACCAAATTACCTTTAAAAAATCGTATATATTTTTTTCTTATGTTTTTATATTAATTATTATATTTGATTCTGAAACACAGTACACCTTCTATAATCTTGTAGATTTCAAAGCAATTATGGAAAATTGCATCATACTGAAAATATTATTATTATTAAAAGTTGTTTAAGATCATTAACTGCATATTTGATTGATGTTTAAATAAACATTGTTTATATATAAATATAATAGCTAATATTTAATTTTTTTTTTAAAAAAAGATTAGTGTAAATTTAAAAATTTAACCATTACAATCTAGCTTTGCAAGCATCATTTTAATACATCCAATGACCAATTTTCACAGTGTTTGGTTACAGAATGAGTACTGTGTGTTTATAATATATATAGTAATTCAGTTCAGATGAGCAAAACTTTAGATCTCTATTCTGACCCTAAAGAAGCTCTTGATGCTATAATTTTACAGAATATTTATAATAATAATCTCTCAAATGTTTGCTATTCTAAACTGAATTATACTGCAATAATATAATACACAAGGTCTCCTATGACTGTTGGTCCATAATTTAAGGCCTTTTGAGTTAAAAAGTTCTAATTAACAAATGTTCCCAAATGCTTTCTGACAGATATATAAACACTAAATGTTTTTATTAATATGGGGCACATTTTCTATTACTCTGTTATTATTCACATTTTCATCTGTGTAGTCTTTTTTTAAATTGTTTGTTCCTCTCATTTTTTGTATATTTGCTGAGAGTATCATTTACATTACAGTCTAGTTTCATCTATCTTCTGTCAATAAAGTCTTACATTTATGTAAAGTTTAGTGAAATGCTTTTTCCATCCAAAGAATATATAAGCACCAGATTAACTTTTAAAGAAAATGTACAAAAACATTGACAAAAGATAAATGATGCTATTATGAACAGATGATATTAAAGTTATAAAAAATGTAAACAAAATGAGATTAACAAATAATGTAAGATAAATCAGACTAATCAGAAATTTAAACAATAAGAACAAATGGTGAATATTATACTTATTCTGGTCAACTTTCAATGCTTATATTTCTGTTAGAGACCATTTATGAAAAAATATTTATAAATTTTTTCTACTTTAAATGACATCAGTAATATGGTTTTAAAAGATAATTGTAAAGTTATTCTACACTCTGCATAAAAAGAATTTGAATGTATATAACCTGTATAGTGATTGAAATGAGCAATCAAATAGTATTATGTTGGCATAAGTTTATAATTTTTTTAGAGAGAGAGAGAGCTGCATATAAATTACATATTTGTTAGATAATTAAGTATAAATAAATGATTTTCCTACCAAAAAAAAAACTATTTGTAGTCTGTTTATGAAAAATGATTAGTTTCGCTACAACCATAAACTGTTAATATTAACCATTTTAAAATAAGTTTTTTTCATTTTAGTAAACTTAGATGAATGTATTTTGTTGTAAATATATGTATGTAAATTCCTAGTCTTCCTTTGTTTTGTTTTTTAATATGTTGACATTTTTTTTTAATTATTAGTTTAATATGTAGTAAGCATATAAGAATATGTTTGGTTCTTAAAGTAGAATGTTAAGACCAGCTTAAATTATTATTTTTTATAATAAAACATATATAAAACAATTATTTATTTATTTTTTTTGTATTTGAAGTTTTCATTCTTTTATTACCTCATGTTTCTTATTTGGCGATTGATCAATTTTCATCAAAATGCAATAATTATTGATCACAATATCTTTACTCATATATATCGTACAAATATTCATGAATCTGAAAAATTTCATATGAAATTTAAATCTAAACAGCGATTTAATATTATTGAAGGCACATTGTTGGACAGCCCAGCTCCGGGCCTGTTTTATAATATAAATATAAAAAATATGCAACTGAATAGCTAAAATATATAAAACTGCCCCTGCCCGC